CTCCTCCTTTTCCTCTCCTTCTCCTGTCCTGGGCATCAGGTCCAGGCCCTCAGCCACGCCACGCGTGCCCCCTACTGCAGCCTGGGGAGGTTTCCATCACAAGTGAGGCGGAGCGTTTTCCATGAAGGGTAAGGGCAGCTGTCTGCCTTTCTCTAGAACTATCTGTTATTTTGGGCCTTGAAAACATATTGGGACTTGGGTCTTTCGCTTTATTATTTTTTAAGAGAATGAAACCAAATGAGACAAAACAAAATAGAGTCAGTCAAAACAAAAGACGGACATAGACCTGACTTAAGAACAAAATACAAGGTGATCGACCATGGTTACCATAATGCCTCTTGTGATCTTCCAAAGAATTGCCCATGTAATCAGGCATAATAAAATTGAACAAAACAGTACAGAAAAAAACGTTGGAAACATTGTAGGACTTCAGAAGAAGATAATTGTTAAACCAGGATGGGTATCATAGTGAATGGTATTGTCTTCAGAGTAGTTGCCAATACCCTCAGACTTGATACTATCAAACAAAACAGGTTCAAATAAAATCACTCAAAGCAAGACAGTAAAAGCAATATAGGGCTTCAAATTAAGTTCATAGGAAATCAAAAATGGTTACCATATTATATCCTGCTGCCTTTGGGATAACTGTCCATGCCATCAAATGTCGTAGAAGTAGACAAACTGGGACAGAATAAAAGCAAGCTAAACAGAGTTCAGTTTAGATGAAAACAATATGGATTTCAAACATGACCCAAGACTAACAATGACCCTGGCTTCCCTTGTTAGACAACTCCTCCCTTTCACATTCACAGGGTGCATTGCACATTTCGTATCCCACTAACCCCGTTAGATTTTAAGTTAGGGAGGCATCCCCACTGTTCACCTAAGTGATTCTGAACCTTTTACCCCTGAGCATGATCTCAAGTTGTACCCATTTGCCTACAAGAGCCCCAAGGTTGTCTTTCTTTAGAGGTGAGTATTTTCCCTTGTATAAAAGTGTCATGGCTTTCTAGCCAATCTGCAGCTGATGGGCAAGCGACCCTCACTTTTTCCTGGTTCTGGCACATAGAGCACTGTTTTCTCAAATTTGACTTTCAGTCTATAAACCCTCATTCTGGTTAATTATATTTCTTATATAGAGCATCATGATGGATCCTATCTCCTGATCCACCCTCTCCTGTGCTCCTTTTAATTATTTATGTAATCCATCCATGTTAGTGATTTTGGCCAACCTTCTCTGCCTCACTTCTGCCCAGCTATTTTTCTGAGCCCCCTCTGCCACTGTTCCTGAAACCATGGCCTTTTCTCTCTCTCTCTCTGTCTCTCTCTGTCTCTCTCTGTCTCTCTCTGTCTCTCTCTGTCTCTCTCTGTCTCTCTCTGTCTCTCTCTGTCTCTCTCTGTCTCTCTCTGTCTCTCTCTGTCTCTCTCTGTCTCTCTCTGTCTCTCTCTGTCTCTCTCTGTCTGTCTCTGTCTGTCTCTGTCTGTCTCTGTCTGTCTCTGTCTCTCTCTCTCTCTCTCTCTCTCTCTCTCTCTCTCTCTCTCTCTCTCTCCTCTCTCTGTCCTTCAGTATTTTTTGTAGCCTTGGTTTAGTGGTTTGAACTCCCCCAGTTCCTCTTTGTCATGGAAGCATCTTGTTTCTCTATTAATTCTTTTTTTCTCTCTCTCTTTTTTCCTTTTTATTGGTACCGGGGATCGAACTCACGACTGCCTGCTTGCAAGGCAGGCGTTTATGCCGCTGAGCTAAATCCCCAGCTCCTCTCCATTAATTCTGAGAGACTATTTTGCAGCTTACATCAATCTGGGCTGGAGGTTATTTTCTTCAGGGCTTGAAATACTTCGCTCCAAGCTCTTCTTGATTTGATGGTTTGTGTACAGAAGTCTGCTGTGATTTTGATGTGTTTTCCTTTATAGAGGACCTGTTGCTTTTCTCTGACACCTTTTACTATTCTATTCCTGTGTTGTGTTTCTGGGATCTTGATTATTACCTATCAAATAATATGATTACTTGTGTGTAGATCTATGTTGGTTGTAGCTGGCTGGAGTTCTGTATGCCTCATTAACCTGAATATCATTTCCTGTTCCTATGCTTGAAAGTTTCTTTAATTATCTCTGTAAATAGCCTTTGTATTTCATTTGTGTTTACCCCTGCTTGTTCACTCATATTTTTTATTCTTATGTTATAGATCCTCTTCTGGTCTTCCAGCGTTTGTATTGTTACTTCTTGGTTCCTTGTTCTTTTTAAGAGATCTTTCTTTTCATGATCCCAAGCTGCAAACCTGTCTTCAAGCTTTGATAGTCTATCTTTAGTTGCTTTCAAGCAGTTTTTCCAGCTTTCAGTGGAGTCTTTAATTTAATTTCTTGGTAATCTGTTTCAATCTATTTCATATTTCTAAATTATTTTTATATTCGTCATCAAAGGTTACCCTCCTTTTTCTATGCGCCTGTATTCTTCCATCTGTGTCTTCTTTAGAGGTGCTTAGCAATTCTTTCATTATGCTTCTCATAAATTCCTTAACCTGTAATAGTATTTCTGTTTCAAGTTCATTTTATAGCTTCATGGAGTTGTTTCTTTGTGTCTGTTGCTGTTACTTCCAAAACTGCAGGTGTGAGACTCCGATCTCTACCCTGTTGATCTCTCCTGGAGCAGTGCTGCTTGGGTTGGGGCCAGAGACTGCCTTTTTGCTTCTTAGGCTTGTGATGTTCCTGGATTCTTCCAGCCAGGGGTAGTGGGGTGTCTGGCACTTCCTGTATTGGTTATAATTACTGTGAAGTGTGCTGCGCAGGGATTGCTGCTGTCCCCAATCTGCTGGTGACTACTGGAGTATAAGCAGGGCTGGGGCAGGCTAACACCTCGCTACCTCCTTGCTTAATCACAGGAAGTCTTCACCAAGTTAGCGTGTGCCAGGCAGGTGGGTTGGTTGGAGATAGCTTTAGGGAAACCTCGGTGCTGGCTACTGGACCATGCACAGGGCCGGGGCTCAGTCCAAGCGTTTCCACCTGTCTGCTCTGCACTAGGAGTGGCTGAATGAAGCCAGCTGCCTTTCTGGTTCCGGGCTTATCCTGCGCAACCCCAAAGTGGCACCTGGCCAATCGCCCACCCTGTGTGAGGACGGAGTCCCCCACACTCACCACCAGGCCGTGCAGTTCTCTGGTCCGCTGCTCGCCTCCACCACCGCGTATCAGTGGCCAGGCCTGCGGTCTGGCCAGCCCTGCTTCACTGTGGCTGTGCTTCTCCGGATTCCAGCTGCGCTGCCCTCACAGTGGGACCGGCTCCGGTGAATGCGCTGGCTCCTACCAGCCTCTGTTTATGTTTTTCTCTCTCTTTTGTTTTATGCTCTCTGTGGGCTTCCATTCTCACTTTAGGTTCTTCCTGGGCCGAGGGACCCGTTTCTCTCCTTCTGGTCTTCTCCAGAATGCTGTATTCCAGCATCTGGGCTGTTTCTCTCAGAGAGGCTTTTTACTTTGCTGCTTACTGTTCCACCATCCTCCCAGATCCCCCTCTCTTTATTATTTAAAAATGTCCTGTGTATTTTAAGGAGACAAACACCTTCAATGTGATGTAAATTGTAAATATCTTGTCTGAAATTCTCCTAACTTTTTCGGTGCTACAGCGTGGTCCTTTTCTGTAATGGGAACTGAACCCAGAGGGAACAGACGAAGCTGCATTCTCGCCCTTTTTATTTATTTAATTCTCCTTTTTGTCTTTTTGAGATCAGGTCTCACTGTGTGGGACACGATGGCCTTGAACTCAAAGTCATCCTGCCATCTCAGCATGCAAAGTGCTTCGATTACAGTCGGTGCCACCATGCCTGGCCACCAGCCCTTTTAAAATTTTGTTTTACTTTAGATTTTGTGACAGGGTCCTGCTAAGTGACTGAGGTGCCCAGTCTTCCAGAGTGCTAGAATGGCAGGTGTGCACCATCACTCTGGACTGAATCATTGTTTCTTAAGCAATTTCTAAAGCAGTTTCCGTAGATTTATAAATGTTATCAAATTTTCTTGGGTTTCCCCTAGCTTCTCCCCAGGCTTTTTTAAAAATAGGATCTTTCTATGTAGTTGAGGCTGGCATTGAACTAATTTTGTACCCAGTATTACCTCAAACATCTAGCAACCCTCTTGTCTCAGCCTTCCCAGTGCCTGGATTACAGCTGTGCAGCCCCAGCACCAGCTCCTCCAGCACTTTATAGTGAACCATTGCAACCTACAGAAAAACCAACGAAATTACACAGAGGCCACCTCGGCTCTACCACCAACGCCGCACCGTCCTGCTTTCCCCATCACTCACCCACCTGCCTTTCCTGTGCTTTTCAAAGTCCCCGCAGGGAGAGTGCACTCTCCAGCTAACTCACTCTGCACTGTGAATGCTTATTAGTGACACTTTTTGTGGTTGCTTTAAATTTTCAATATTTAGATTTTCCCCATGCTGTCCCTGTCCCCTCAGGGGCTGACTCAGGCACCCTCTGCCGCAGGATGGAAAACCCCGGGTGGTGGCACCCGCACTGCCCCTGCCCACTGCCCCTCTCGGCCGGACTGACCTGTGCCACGGACATCACATTGCAGTTGATGATATCTGATACGCTCTGGGGATGAACACGGAGCCCATCACCACCTGCTTCCCAAGCCCCAACACCTCCCACGTTTCCTGTCTAGGTCCTAGCTTAATCTATCTATCTATCTGTCTATCTATCAATCTGTCTATCTTTCTTTTCTTCCTTCCTTCCTTCTCTCCTCCCTTCCTTCCTTCCTTCCTTCCTTCCTTCCTTCCTTCCTTCCTACATAGCAAGGTCTTTCTATGTAGCTCAGGTTGGCCACCAACTTACTACGCAGCCCAGATTCCCTTCACCTTGTCATGATCCTCCTGCCTCAGCCTTCCAGGTACTGGGATTACAGTGCTACCATGCTCGGCTATTTTTCTTATTTTTAAAATTCAGAACACATTTTGTTTTGTTTTGTTTTGCTGTTGTGGATTATGCATTTTTTCAAATCCATTTTGTTTCTAGGAGAAAAAGAAGAGGAAGAAAAAGAAGAAGAAGCAGAAAAACTACAACAAAATTTCAAAGCACGTCCATCAGGATGGTACATACAATCAGGATGGTACAACACACATTGTGCATCATCACCCCCAAATAATTCACCAGAGCACAAGACATTTGCGTTCAGATGAACAGAACCAGCACAAATCTCTTCCGTGAACTCAGAGAAAGCCATAGAATAGCTAACTTAACTGTTTTATATACACCATCTACCTGCACACATGCGTGTGTTCTGCTTTCAGCTTCTCACGCTCTCACATGTGTGTCTTATTTCTTTCACTAACAGAACACGTTTTGCAAAAACACAGTCCCCAGTAGAATCTGAAAAGCTCCCGTCCTTGGACCTCTCAGCTCCTCTTGTAGAAACACGCTGCTGTCTGAGATTCTCACACACGAGGACGCTCGAAGCTATTGGATCCCAGGCCGATGAGGTGCTACCTCCCTATGACTCTAACAACTTGGGAGGCCGAGGCAGAAGGATCACAAGTTCAAGGCCACCCTGAGCAGCATTGCTTTCTTTTTAGTGAGACCTTGTCTCAAACTAAAAAGGGCTGGGGCTGCAGCTCAGGGGTACAGTGCCCCTGGATTCAATCTGCTGAACTAAAATAATCAGTATAGTACAGACACAGCAAAGTGCACTGACCTTTACTATGAAATCAAGAGGCCCCAGATATGCTGGTGCACACCTGTAATCTCATCTATTGTGAGGCTGAAGCAGGAGGATCCTCCAAGAGTTCAAGCTCAGCCTCTATTACATAGTGAAGACTGTCTCAAAAAATGAAGACAGATAGAAGGAAGCAGAGAGAGAGAGAGAGAGAGAGAGGAAGAAGAAGAAGGAGACAGCCCTTTTTCCAGATCCTCTTGCATATCTTAGACAAAAACTTTTCTTCATACAATAAATACTTCCTACTTTTATGAAAGAAAGAAAAAAAGAAGAAAGAAAGAAATTGAGTAAAATGAACATACCACATAGCCAAACTTCCGGGACTCAGAAAAGCCGTCCTAGGGAGGAGCTGTATAGCTGTGGAGGCCACGGTAAACAGGAAGTAAGGTCACAGATCAACAGCTCTACAGCCAGTGCAGAGAGCCACATTAAACCTGCAGCTCACACCAAATCATAAAGGCAAAACAGAAACTCGCAAATTAACAGAGACATGTGGTGACACAAGAAGAAGAGATGGTTCTTTGACAAAAAGACTGGAGTTACTCAAGTCAGAAATAAAAGTGAACAGGCCAGGTGTGGGGGGTCTGGCCCCTAACCCCGGCACCTGGGAGGCTGAGGCAGGAGGGTCACTGTGAGTTTGAGGCCACTCTGTACTGTCTGTCTCTCTGTGTGTCTGTGTGTATGTCTGCCTCTCGCCCGATCTCTCTCTCTCTCTCTCTCTCTCTCTCTCTCTCTCTCTCTCTCTCTCTCTCTCTCTTTCCTCCCCTTCCACTTCTCTTCTCTCCGCTCTTAGAGAGTCCACATTATGGTTCTACCTTGTGGGTTCCTTTTACAATCAGAACCCGGGAATATGAAAGGTGAGAAGCAGGCTCGACCCCTACAGGTTGAACACTGCAAAAGGACCTCTCATTCCAGCACACACTTTGTGGTGGCTGTTCAGTTTTCCAGCCAAAGGCCATGAGGAGCCTGGCACTGGCACTGGGGAACCCAGTGTGTTCTGCGTCCCGTCCAGCAGAGGGCAGCAGAGCGGCACCTGCAGCCCGGACTCACCTGGCCGGGGTCTGTGCAGTCCAGCAGCTTGCACCAGCTTATGGAGTTACCCCTTCCGTACGCTATGCCCACATTGTTCACTGCGCGAGAGGTTGCACGGCATCCCTCACGACTCAGGGACACGGGATCGGCACAGGAGGGAACCCGGCGCGCTCCGGGTGTGCAAAGCAGGCAGGTGACTCACCCAGGACTCCGATCTCCAGGCCCTGCAGGCCTGCCTCGATAGCATCATAGATCTCCAAGCCCCCGGTGAAGTTGGCCTGGATCACGCGCGTGGACCTGCCATGCAGGCGCTCTGGGGGATTGCAGGGGTCAGGCTCTGCCCCTGCCCTGTCCCTGCCTGGCCACAGTGTTCCCAGCTGCAGCCTCAGGCCATCAGGTCCACCCCTGACCCCAGCCCAGGGAGCCCAGGGCTTCCCCACAGGCTGTGCACTCACCAATCTCCCTGGCCTCCTCTTCCAACTTGCTGAGGCTTCTACTGATGAGGAGGATGTCCAGCCCCCTCCTGGCCAGCTGCGGAAATTCAGTCACTTACTCAGCTCTGCAGGCCTGCAGCAGGAGCTGGGGTGAAGCAGGGCCTTCACACTGAGCTCCACTGTCAGCCTTTTTCTTTCTTCAGACAAAACACCTCAGTCATAAAGAACTGGTTTCATCTTGGGATCCTCCTGCCTCAGCCTCCCAGAATACAGGAATACGAGCTATGCACAATTACTCTGGCCTGTTTTTGACATTTTGTCCTTCATCCTGTAAAGCAGGGTTAACTTTTCCCTGTTCTTGATGCTCCAGGTCATAGGGTTGAACAGAAGAGAAAAGCACTGGGGGAGCAGAAGACACTTCCAGGGAGGGAAGCTCTGGGCACAGTGGGCAGACTGAGGTGACCTCTGTGTAGCAGCTCAAGGACTACCAGGGTCCCAGGCAGGCTCTGCCTCTCAGCACTTGGCTGCCTGATCCCGTCTTTATTCTCCCTCATTCTTGTGTGCCTAGCGAGCACCTGTTCCCTCCTGGGGGACTGGGGACTCATAGTGCCTGGGGCACCTTGGGTTCAGCCCCTGCCACACACTCTCCAACCCACCACCGAGGTCCCTGCAAAGGCTGAATCAACCGTGCCCCTCTGCAGACCAGAACCTGCCTTGGCTTCCCAGGGACCCTGCCACAAACCCACAAACCCGTTTTCTTCACCTGGACCTGTTGCCGTGTCCTGTGAAAGGCCAGGCACAGCCCTGACTCCTGGGGTCCCACCCAGCAGCCCCTGCCTTTTCTGCTCCTGGGCCTTTGCACCTTCTAGTCCTTCTGCCCTGAAGCCCCGTCCACTTGATGCTGAGCTAGAAAACACACGTGATTGGGGAAGGGATGTGCACTCAGTGGCTGTCTGTCCCTTTTAGCCTGGACGGTGAGGGTGACATGAGATGGGACTGATGTCCCTCAGCTGTGAAGGAGGCTCTGCCCCGGGGTCTCAAGAGCTCCATTTACTGAGATGCTGATGGTGCAAGAGCTTTCATTCATTCTTTCATTCACTCATCAAACACCTTGCCCAGCCCATACTCTGTGACTGCCACCAGCAGGAAGGTCCCAGCCTTGCCTTGTGAGGCTCACAGTGCAGTGGCAGTGGGTGGCACAGATTGGCCCCACACAGTGATGGCGCATGGTGGGTGCAGCTTCCAAGCAACCTGCAGAATCTGTGCATGTCTGGCTTACACCCTCCCACTGTAATTCAAGGCCCCTCCATTCTTGCCAGGTCCAGGACATGCTCTAGCTTGTCTTCTCCCTGTGCACCATATTCTTCTGTCTGGGTTATTCCCATCAGCACAGGGACCTAACCTTTTCTTTGTTGTCACTCCGCATTCCAACAAAAGGTCCTTCACCCTGATTCTCCTCCTCTAATAGGTCCCTACCACCGGGACTAGTTGCCACATAGCCAGCCATCTAGACATTCAGATGCTTCCGCAGCCATGGGCCAAGGGGGCCTCGCTACTGCTCCACGAAGACTTCGGCATCATTTATGTGCTGTGTGATACAGGTGCATGCAGAAGGAGATCTGGGGTCCCTGAAGTTTTCATCTAGACTTCAAAGGAATGCCTGGGAGGCTAGACACTGAGTCCTAAAAGGGGAGTATATAAAGCAGTGGGGAGGGAGCCCGGATCCAGGGAGTTGGAGCACCTCCCACATATGCGGGACAGGATTGTGGGACATCTTCCAAGGACAGCTGCAGACCCTGAGCAGGACCCAGCCTGAGAGAGAGGTTGTGTGGGCGGCAACCCACAAAGCCCTGGGCTGGGGCTGCACACAACCCCTTGAACTCACCTCTCAAAACCATGAGCTCCAGACACCAGCTCTAGAGCCACAGGACTTAAGGTGTGTCCTGCTGGGATTTGGTCTTGCTTTGGTCTGATCTTCTGGGACCAGGTGCAATGCGCATAACTACCTTGAGACATTGCGCGGTGAGATTATGTCACCTGTCCTTGACTTTTACAGTGATTCACTGCTGAGTCTCAGAGGAGGCTTGGTTTTGGTTTTATCATCCTCGTTTGAAATCACATCTGGTTAGCAGTTCAGCCTGGCCTTGAACTCAGTACTTACTCTGGGCTGGCCTGAGATTCCCAGGGGCCCTTGGGACTCAGCTTCCAGTGCTAGGGTTCTACACATGTGCCAGCCTGTCCAGCTTTCAGCAGTCACCTTGGACTGGCACTTCTGAGAAACGCTAGGGCTGCTGAGACACTGGGGAAGGGACCACTGTGCTCTGGCTGAACACGGCATAGTCCCCTGTGTGAGGTGAAATTACTAATTTAGGGCTGGGTTATTTGGAGACAAGCATGGTTTAAGGAGATGAATTTGGGCACCAGGTTTACTAGAGTGAAATGTGGGAGTGAAAGTTAATGAAGTCGCCTTAACTGTCCTGGGAGCCATGTGAGGCACCTGTGTGGCACACTCCTGGGTGTGTCTGCACGGCCACCCAGTTGTGACTCCGCCCCGTATCCATCCCTGGCCCCTTGCTCTCTGGTGGGTGCTGTCCCCGTGCTCCGCTTCCCAGCCTATGTGAACTAAGCAGCTCTGCTCTCCCAGGCCCTCCCACCACGCTGTCCCTGCTTTGGGGCCAGGCAGTCATCCACTGACCCACAGGAAACCAGGAGCCAGCTGGGCACAGTGGTGCCCTCCTGACACCTCTGCACTCCGGAGGTGAAGCAGCAGACTCACAACAAGCTCAAAGGCCACCTGGGTCCCGAAGTAAAATCAAGGCCACCCCAGGTTGAATAAGGGAGCCCTGGCTCAAAAGAGAAATGAGCAGGAAACCACAAAACTGAAATCACAAGTCAAAAAAATCTCTCCTCCTCTCAGCTCCGGGTGTCAGGAACGTGGTCCATCAGTCACAGCGCTGACTAATACAGTCATGGGAGAGGAGCCCGAAGGTCATTAAATTAGGTGAGATCAGCCAGGCACAGAAAATCCAACACTGCAGGATCTCAGTTCAGCGGGAGCTGAGCTTCTGGCCGTGGGGAAGGAGAGTGGTTAATCGGGGCTGAGGCTGAGGAGAGAAGGGGACGTGTTGGGCAGCAGACATGAATCTCCAGTGACGAGGAATACATTCTCCAGTGTATTCAGCGGGGTGACTGTAGTTAGTAGCAGCGTGCTGCATTGTTGAGAAGAAGGGAGGTTAACTCTGGCCATCACAAAGGGACAGACAGACACAGAGACAAGGACAGACAGATCCACCAATGTCATTTACTAAGGAAAACTATCACAATCATGCATTAAGACGCCAAAAAATTAGTTCACAAAAGTCAACCTCCATTCCTTAAGGACAGCGTGAAATACACAGCAAGACCCTTTCGCAAAAACAACCAACACAATCAAAACAGAACAATACAGAATACTACAGAACAGAGCCGAACAACAAAAACAGAAGAGATAACCTTGCTCCAAATGCTGTTGCATTTCTGTAACACCAGCCCTCAGGAGCTGAGGGAGGAGGATCTCTGAGAGTTCAAGGCCAACTTGGGCTACAGAGTGAGTTCAAGGTCAGCCTGAGCTACACAGTGACTCAAAAAAAGGACAGAAACAAGGCTCCATGAGAGACACAAAGAAACAAAACAAGGAAACACTATCCACACATGAGATATGGTTACAGATAAGGTATGAACAAATCCCAGGCCAAGGATGACATTTGTAAAAATGCCTTCCCCAGAGTGCCCCCCTGGCTGCCAGTACACTCACCCCAGCCTTCCCGCTGCTCTCTGAAGAGCCCTGGAGGTCCTCTCTCATGGCTCTCAGGGTGTGAGGAGGAATACAGTGACTGCCCCTCTGGGTGCCATCCAGGGGAAAGGCAGACTCAGGGAGCCCTTGCCCTACTGCCTCATCCACCCCATTCACTGGATCTGCCACCGTGGAACTCCTGGCTTCCCCCCAGTCACCATCACCAAATGCTCACCCTTTTGAGCTGCTTCAGCACACGGAGGCAGCCAGGACAGCACAGCTAACGCCACTCACAAAAGAGGACTCAGGCCTGCTTCACAAGCCTGAGAATGATGGGATCCGTCCTCTTTCCTGAGTGTCTCCTTCTCCCTGACCACCACCTCTCACTCCATGTGCCGGACCTTGCTTATGCCCCTCTGCCCTGGCTGGAAGATAAGCTCCATGAGGGCAGGACTTGCACTCTTGCAAAAACTCTTTTGTGTTCACTGCTGCATCCCCAGGCCCAGGAAGATGCCTGGCACAGAGTAGGTGGTCAATAAACAGGATTTGAAGAAATGAACCAGGCAATAATGAGAGGGATGAGAGGGTGAGGGGGCACTTAGCTCTCCCCAGGCAGCTGGTGACAGGGAAATCAGCACGGAAGCCACCACCCCACTCACCTCGTGTGCGTAGGCCTTGCCAATGCCGCTGGTGGCTCCAGTCACCACTAGGAGAGAGAAGAGGGGGCAGGGGGTGGGCAGCTTCCCCACTGTGGGTCCTGTCGGGGTCCTCTGAGCCATCCGCAGACCCCCGAGGTCCCTCCTGGACTGGCTGCCTCTGCTCCAGGCAGAGCCCCCTCTGCTAGGGCTTGTTACCCTTGCTGTCCACTGGAATCTGCACACAGCCTCAGCCACTGCTTTTGATTGTTCCAGACAGGGCCTCTCTATGCAGCCTGGGTGGCCTCAGTCTCCCTTGGCGCTCCTAACACATCCTCCCAAGGGCTGAGATCACTGGTGTGCACCAGGTTTGGGCTCCCGGGCTAAACACATGGAAGTTGTGCCGCACACAGGTGACCAGAGGCGTCCTCCCCATGTCCTGTCCGTCACCTGGCTCCTCTGCCACCTGTTCCTCCCACCTGAACCTCGTTGGAGACTTTGTGCCTCCCTTGCCCTGGTCACAGCAGCCTTTTCCTCTCTTGCTTCCATGAGTCCCTTGGTCCCTGTATTGACTGGTGGGAAGGGTTCCCATGGCTCACCTGTCACCTGTCGTCCACTTGCAGCTCCCAGTCGCACTGCCTCAGGTGAACCCGGATCCCTTACCTGCCCAGGATCCCTGTGCCCGGAGCCAAGCATTACCCCTCCAGACCTGCAGAAGCAGGTACATGTACACAGCACGGGCCACTCCCCAGGTCCCCTGCAACAACAACCAGGTGGCCGTGATGGCCCCCAGCACGCTCAGCGCATCCCACTTGGACTCCATTGCACCTCCTGCTCTGCAGCCTGGGACCTTCAGGGTAGGGTTGCTGGGTGCCACAGGTCAGCTATTGAGGATCTACTGGACCTTGTGAGCTCTCAACACCAGCCACACCCCGGCATGTCCCCATGGCTACCCAAATTTACCAAAGTCCACCATCCCCTAGCTCCACCCACTGAGGCTGTGGCTGGGGGCAGGATTTGCATCTGGGGGTTTCTCCCCTTTTCTGGGGCTGTTTCCTCCTGTCCCAAACCAGCCTGCTTGCTGTGGGCCCCTGATTTGGTGTTTTTATTTGTTTTTGGTGGGTTTTGTTGTTTTCACAATGGGTCTCCCTGCACACTTCAAGCTGGCAGTCTCAGTCACTTTTCCTGTTGGTGAGACAAAATACCCCACACAAAAAGTTGAAGCAGGAAAGCTTTATTGGCTGACACTTAGTGGCTTTTCAGCCCATGACCAGCTGGCTCCAGGCAGGTGGCCCAGCAGAGGGGCCCCGAAGAGAAGAGATGGTCCAAGGGAAGAAAAGGACAGCAAAATGCAAGGGACAGCAGCAGTGATAACACACAGGCCCCTCCTTCTGTCTGTTGTATTTTATCCAGGCTGCCAGGGCCAGCAGTGGACGTATTAAGGAGGGACACCTCACTCCTACCCAGTACCGTGCCGAGCCCCTCAGTGGACTGGTTTTGTACTCACACACACTTGATCCCAGCATCACAAACTCAAGACCTGGTCACCTTTGAAAAGCTCCATCTGTGACTTGCATGAGGTTTTTGGGGAACACTGAGACACAAGCTGTACTACTGTCCTTGAGCTAATTATGCAGCCCACCTTGACCTGAAATGCACGACAGTCCTCCTGCCTCAGCCTCTCAAGGGCTGGGATTACGGGGCTGCACCTGGGAACATGTGACCACGCCCAGTCCGACTTTCCTTTCCTACCCCATCCCTGGGAGTGGCCCTTGAATCCCGAAGGCCTCCTCTACACCACTTTGGGCACACCCCTGTGGCCTTGGTATAAATGTATTCTGAGGTTTAGAAAGTTACTTTGGGTCTCTCCATGAGAAAATTTTTCTGGGACTGAGCTGCTGGAGGAGAGGAAAGATCCTATTTGTCTCTGGTCAGAGCCTTTGATGAGGAAAACTTCCATAGGTGCAAAGATTTGAGAGCTCCCACCCTAAACAAGTCTCTCTGGTACAGCAGGAAGATGTACAGGCAGAGCACACAGCACACAGGGGGAGAAAGCAAGGGGCCTGGTGGGAGGGTGCACACCTGCAACCCCAGCTACGCAGGAGGCTGAGGCAGGAGGGCCACAAGTGAAAGTCCTTCCTGGGCATTTAATAAGGTCTGATTTCAAAACAAAATTTTAAGAGGCTCCGGCTATGGTTTAGTACTCCTGCTGTTCAACCCCTGGTACTGGAAAATAAATTTAAAAACTGCGAGACATTGGGAACCCGGAACCCAACTCCACAAGGAGAGACAAGCCAGGCAGAAATCCATGCTGTTTCTTTCATTCTTATTTTCTTCTTCCTTTTTTTGTCCTTCTATTTTTCTTTTTGAGACAGGGTATCACTATGGAGTTCAGCATGCACTTGAACTCACTGTGGAACCCAGGCTGGTCTCACACTCATGCAATCCTCCTGAATCAGCCTCCTGAGCACTGAGATTACAGGTGTGAAGCTGGCATTACTTTGAACAGTTGGTTCTTGTGTGTGAGTAGGACCGTCCTTTCTAGTTTGGTCAGTGTTGTTGTGCTCTGTTCTTATTTTTATTTCTTCCTTCTTTTTTTTCTCTTTTGACACAGGAGCTCACCATGTAGTTCAGAACAGCCTTGAACTCACTATATAATGCAGGCTGGCCTCAAACTGTAGACCTTCCTCCTGCCTCAGCCTCTAAAGTACTTATTTCTTCCTCACATGTTCCTCTCCAGGCTTCTTCCCCAATTTCTCAAAGTTTGCATCATCTTCTTTTGTCTTTACTCTTCCAGTGTCTTCCTCCTCTTTTCCCTCCTCCTCCCCTTCCTTCTTCTTCTCCTTCTCCCTTCTTCTCCCTTCTTCTCCTTCTTCTTCTTCTTCTTCTTCTTCTTCTTCTTCTTCTTCTTCTTCTTCTTCTTCTATCTCCAATTTTCCTCCTAAACCCTTCTAAATTTTTTCTCCCTGAGTGTAAAGTAACCACATTGAGGACATATTTGCTGTATATAATTTTCTGGTCTTTTTATATTTCAGTATATAACCACAAATCTAGGTAATTTGATTAATGAGTTCAAGTTAAATCTTGACATAGTTTATCATTTTCTCCACTGTGCTCACTACTATATATTGCCTTTGATCTCATGTTTTTCTATTAAAATTCATAACTGCTATGTGTTAATATTCTGCAGGGGCCAGGTGTGATGGAGCAGCCTGTAATCTTGGCAATTAGAGGCTAAGATAGGAGGGTCCCGGTGATTTCAAAAACAAGATAGGCTATGAAAGTGCATTTGAGACTTTATGTCACTAAACAAACAAGCAAGCAAGCGAATGTTCTACAGTTCAGCTTCTAATGCAGTCATTGCTGATGAAAAAGCAACAGTCACCTGACTCGGCCTCTCTGTGTTGGTGCTGACTCTGCCTGTGCTATGGAGACTCCACAAGGGATTAACCGGCCCTGATTCATAGTAAAAAGGAGGAGACGCTCTGTCATGTGTTCCCCAGCACCGTAATGGAGGGCAGGGCTGATTTCCTTACAAACTTTCCTCCAGCTCTGACACCCCTCATCCCTCCTGGTGACCCACTAACAGAGAGCCACTGAGCTCCTCCAACCGAGTCTGTGAAACAGAAAACGGACAACATGGACCGATGCTCTAACTTAACGTGATTGAATTAAAATTGTTAAGATTGTGGTTGAGAAGGCCTCACAGCAGGGCAGGAAAGCAGCTCCCCACTCAGCTGCACAGCGCACAGCACAAGGATTCTCTGCCCTCTGACACCTGTTTCTCACAAAGATCAAGTAAGTCACCTGCAGCTCCAAAATTACAAAGGTCAAAGGACTCTTTGTCTCTCTGAGGTTTCTGCCATACGTACCTGAAGTACATGACACGGCTTATTGGATTCGCTTTATCTCACCGGTCTTGGCTATTACAGGGGAAAGGGCAGGATCTTCCCAGGAAGTAGGAAGCATTTCCCGTACATCATAGGATAGGGCTGAAGTAAGCACACAGGAGCATTAGATGAGTTTAGTTCAGGATTATTTCAAGTGAGATCTAGAGCTTAATACAAAAAGACTGAAGGAAGAACACAGAGCCAATAGTCACTGCCTAATTTTGGGTTTGCAGCTTAGAGGATCGGATGCGTATCATTGACCAGATGTAAGAGATCAGGAGTGAGAGGCCCTGTTTGAATCTCAGTGGGTGCAGTGGAAAATGGAAACACCAGTGGTCCTGGGAAAGGAATCCTAACACCGGAAGCGGGTGACGGGCTGTCCAAAGCTGTGTGAATTTTGAAATGAGCCATGGGTCATGTCTCCATCCATCTACATGGATTTTTATCCAGCAACCTAATGACCACTCTTGATAGGAAAGCTCTGATTATGTGGTGTCATGGTTTATGTCGGTGGCCCCAGGCCTCATGCATTTGCATTGTGCACTTGTGATTGGTTCATTGTCTAGCGCTGGGATTGGTATTCTCAGTGCTACATCCACACAGGGGTGGAGCCAGCATACAATGTAAAGGCTGGAAGAAGGTGTGTCTCTTTTTAAAATTTTATTTAAAGGAAGACTAAACAAAACAGAAAAAGTGTAGAAATAATACATACTTTCAAAGAAAAAAATAAACAGTAAGAAATCACTAGTTGATATTGTTTTCTTACAGATAGCTGTTTGAGCTACATTGTAAAGCATACAAAGTGGCTAGTCAAACAGTGAGACGCAAACAGTTCTGTTCAATTATCCAACCAAAACTTAGTAACATGGTTATCAATCCTATACATTTAAGCATACATGCAGTTATCCATATCTTCATTTATGTTGAGATCAAACAAACTAAAATCACTCTGAAAAAACAGGCTAAAATCACTATGAAAAAAGAATAATAGTATTGCTGGATTTACATCATGACACTACGGGATCAGCACTGGGTGCTATAGTGTCTTTTTTTCTTCAAAGTAGTTGTTCATTGCATCAAGGATTATAAGATCACTTCTTGTAAACTGTTTATAGGGTCTATGCATTCATGAGTCTTAACATGTATTCTACCCTTTCTATATTAGTGGGAGAAAAAAAACAAAGCAAGGAAAAATAAAACACATTCCTATAAACACAGGAAATGAGAAGCCATATAAAACCACTGTACATGGAGTTGTACCATGGTTACTGTGCTGTCTCTTGTTATCTTCAATAGAATTGTCTGTATCATCACACATGGTATAACTGAATATAGCAGACCATAACAATATTAATAAAAACAAAACTTTGTAGATAGTGTAAAACTTCAAAAACAGATAATCATCAAACCAGAATATGTATCGTAGAATCTTGTCATCTTCAGTGTAGTTGCCTATACTCTCAGACTTGGTACTGTCAATCATAAAAGTTTTGAATAAAATCTGTCTATACCAAACAGCAATCAAACTAACCAGATTTAACTAAGATCAGTCATGGTAAAACAGTATAAGTTATACGGGCTCCAGATTAAGTTAATGGGAAATTAAGGATGATTGCTGAACTACATCCTGTTCTTTTTGGGATAGCTGTCTGTGCCCTCAGATCTAGTACAACTAGAAAACTGGGACAGAATATAATCTAAGCAGACTGGTGTAAGTACTGTGGGTTTTGAATCTTGGTACACTATTAAGAATACCCGCTGCCTTTTTTAAAGACCATCCCTCCCCTTTCACTCCCCCAGGGTGTTCTGTGCATTCTTGGGTCTCACCACCTCCCTCAGTTTTTAGATTGGGGGGCCGCCTGCTACTTACCTAAGTGGTTCCTGTAGTGGTCCCCTCCTGGGCTTGATCTCAAGTTGCATTCCTTTACCTGTTAACACCTGTCTTTCCCACCTATCTGCAGGTGCTGGTCGAGTGGCCCCTATTACTCTCTGCTTCCCTGTCACACAGAGCATTGTTTGCTCATATTTGATTTTCGGTCTGTAAACCCTTTTTCAGGTTACTTATATTTCCTATAAAGAGCATCTCGGTGGACCCTGCCTCCTGATCTACTCTGCCTGTGTTTCTCTCTTTTTTCTTTTAGTGTATCAAGGCCATCTGTGTTAGACATTATAGCCAACTTTGCCTCATTTCTGTTGTGCCCTTTTTCTGCCATTAGTTGTCTGCTTTTCTTCTTCATTCTGTTTTCTGCTCCACACATTGAGGCCTCTCTGCCACTGTTCTTGGAATCCTGGTAATTTTCTCTCTCTCTCTTTAGAATGTCCTTCAGTATTCTCTACAGGGTTGGATTGGTGGTTGCGAATTCGCCCAGTTCTTCTTTGTCTTGGAAGCATCTTGTTTCTCCATTAATTTCTACAGACAATTTTTCAGGGTACATCACTCTGGGCTGGAGGTTAATTTCTTTCACGGCTTGGAATTCTCTGCTCCCAGCTCTTCTTGACTTGATGGTTTGGGTCAAGAAGTCTGCTATTATTCTGATGGGCCTTCCTCTATAGTTTATCTGTTTCTTGCCTCTAACAGCTTTTAATATTCTGTCCTTATACTGAATTTCTGGGATCTTGATTATTATATTCCTGAGTGTAGCTCTGTTTTGTTTGTAGGTGGCTGGAGCTCTATATGCCTCATTGGGGAGATACAGAATATTTCTCTGCCTCGTAATCCTGGAAAGGGTGACAACTCCCCAAGGGATGGCCACTCTGTTTTGTAGCCTCTGCCTCCCCTCTAATTCAGTCACAATGGGAAACACTCCTTCTCGCCCTCTAAAGACACATTACTGCCAGACAGCCTGGCCACAAGCTCAATAATGCCCTCCACTGGCCCGAGAGGGGACCTTGTATTATGCCACCCTCTGCGACCTGAACAACTTCTGCTACCGTAATGGCAACCTGATGTGCAGGCCCTGGAGCTCCTCCCTCCATCCCCAGGCCTGTGAGGTGACCCAAGCTCTTTGGCCCACTCCACACTGCCCTCCCACAGCACGGAGCCCCTTCCTGTTCTCTGTTGCCGTCTCCTCCTTCCTTCCCCATCACCCCTTCTCCCTCCTGCTCCTCCTCCACCCACCGTCGCCATTTTCCCACCTGCCCATCATCCCCATCTTGTGCCCCCTCCTGCTTGTTCCTATCTCTGTCCCAACCTCCTCCAAAATGTCACTCACCCCCACCTCTGCTTCCTGGCCACAAGGGGACAGGCACTGAAGACTTGGTCCATGCTCGTGTCCTTTGTGCCCTTTTTCCATTCCCATATCTCACAGCCCTTAGCAATCCACGTAATTACGTCAAAGAGCTCCGACTTGTGATTCATCCCTATGATTTCCTAATAGCTGTCTTTGCTTTAATAACAGGTTCTCCTTCCACAGATACAAGAGGTTTTATGCCTTCTGATATGCATTTCAAGAGATCTCTGTTAATTGACCTACAAAAGGATTCCCACTTTTTTTTATATTTATACTTTTGGATGTAAAAATGATAAAAGAATTATTACAATTCAAATTGGCCAGATATATTTAAGTGCACTCTGTGTGAGGTGTTTGTCTGTTAAGCTGTGTATGTTTCTATGTCTAAATTATACAGATTGTCTACATATGTTTCTTTGCCATATGTATGAAAAGCTATTTTTTTATTAGAGCTTCACAATTTTTCCTTTCCAATTTGTGGATCATTAGCTCAAAATTTAAAATGGATTTTACACCTAAAAGCATGCTTCCACCTCAGTAGCCAGCTGGTCAAAATGATGCTATAGCTGGGCATTTGGCTCAGTGGGATAAGCACCTTTCTGGCAAGTATCAGCTTGTGAGTTCAACCCCCAGTACCAAAAAAATGCTATGGTTGGTTGTGTAAATTTAATATATACTGTCATTTATCTCTCATGACTTAAGAGTCTCTCATTGTTCAAAAATAATATGTAAAATAATATGTTGTGATTGAGTTTTTTATAAGTCATTTAAAAATTAAAATTATAAAGATAATTAAACAAAATCCCTTGGGGTGGGAAGAGATTATTGGATAGAACTTCAATAGATAAATAAGAAAGCAGCTGCCTGAGAACATTTAACCAGTTCTTGCTCGTTAAATGGAGGCCCCAATGATCTCCATGGCCTTGTGTATGTACTGTAAAAGTATATCATTGTAATATGTTCACATTGGCCATCACCAAAAGAAACCACACAGCAAGATTTTTGATGTTAAGATGCTCTGATACAAAGATTTCATACGCCTATGACAGATTGTTGTTAACCTCATTGAGCATTAATATATGCATGCTTCCACATGTACCGGTCTTCCAAAAATGTAAAACAGAGATTGACTGACACAGTTTTGTTTCAGATTCAGACCACTGCCTGTAACAGAAGCTTATGAGATGCACATCCTACTAAAGGTCAGCAGGTTAGGTAAAACACGTCTCATGGGTTAGATAGGGATGATTAACTAAAGGGGAATCTTATGTCAAAATGTAAATGCAAATTGTTACAAAGTATCACAGCTGTCATGCCACAATATTATGCATGGTCTTGATTTCAACCTTTCTGTGAAAAATACAAAACTGTTAACACTCTACAGGGATTTAAGCACTAGAATATCCAGGATTGATGGAAATAACTATACTCACAGGGACTTCAGCTCAGTGGCACAAGTGCAAGCCGGACAAATGTGAGATCGTGAATTTGATCTCTAGTATCAAAGGAAGAAAAAGAAAGAAGAGTTTATTTTCTGTTCTAAGGGGCTTGATATTCAGATAAGATAGTACTGTTAACCTTACTGCCTTATTACGCTGAAATGTTAATAATCACTTCTTCTGGATTTTCAAAAACTGAGATTTGGGGATCAAAACTAAAGAGACAAATGGGGTAGGAGGACAGCCAATATTTTGGCTGCAGCCTTCTGAGGTCACTGAGGAGCCAGGATATCGGAGAACCTCAGCAGCAACATCCCATAACTCTGTGAGGACCTGGTCTTCTGATGCAGGAGACTGCGGAACCACAAAGGAATGTGATGCGATATATACAGTATCTCAGAGGGTCACGCACATGGCTCTGCACAGCGCCTCCCTTCAGCACCGACTTCCGGTTTCTTCCTGCAAACCCGAGGAGCTAACACGTAATCTTTCACACTAGGCGGGGGTTGCTGGTTCTCTGTCCCATGAATCCCATAAAACCACGCTCCAGCCTGGCAGGACGGAGAACAATCACGACAGGATCTTCAACTGGGTGCAAGCCTCCAGACCAGAGGCAATGATTTCCCAGAGCAGGAAACTTTGCATCCCCAGCCTCCTAAACCCCAACTGCTGCTCAGCTGTGCTATGCAGACTGGCCTCTCTGCACCCCATCTCTCTGCACAGTGCAGACGGGCTTCCAGGCCTCCTGCACAGCCCAGCTCCCAGCGCTCACGCATCCTGCGGTTCTCCCTGTCACTCATCCTCCAGCCACTCCTTTGGGCACCAGTTGACATCTGTGTTAGGCTGTGGGTCAGGGCTTTTGTTTATAAAGCGTCACCAGCTGCCGCCTCAGGACGCTTTTGCCCCCAAAAGTATAAATATGTTTTAGAGTATTTATTCTCACCATGGGTTGCACTGAAAGTGGTAAACCGGAAGTAACGCACTGGAATTCCATAACGTTTCCAGGGATTACAAAACTGAACTTTCTGGGCTGTGAAGAGGACGAGAGAGAGATCCCTACGCTTGTTACCACTCTCTGGCTCACAACTCCAACAGACTGAGAATCCTATGGAAAGGCTGCTTTGTTCTCTGTTACATAAATCTAACTCCTAGATTGCTTACTGGTAGGTACTTCCTCGGCGTGGTAGCAAAGCAAGAGCAAAGAAAGGAAATAGTCTTTATTTGGGGCAGAGGAGGGCTGCAGTAGACTGCAAGCGCCCTGGGGAAGGCACAGAAGCCCTGAGCTTTATCCAGGTGGAAGGGGGTGGAGTTAAGGGGCGGGCAGAGTGACGTTCTGACAGCTGATTGGGCGATGTTGGCGCCCATAGGAAAGCTGGGGGTTTAAGAACACAGAGGTCAGTGTTGAAGGGCGGCGCTGTCCAGTGCCGTGTGGGGCGGGCGCTGGGCTGAGCCTGGCAGTGCTTCCCGTGTGCGAAACCCATGATTCACCTTGAGCTGCCTACAGCTAAGGTAAAATCGACCCTCCCATGGGTAATATGTCTAAACCTCCCAGGAGTGAAAGGAACACAAGGACTCCAGGACGCAGGGAATGCCAGAATACCTGCCATAATACTTCTTCAGACCACATGGGATCCTCACAGCCTAAAATATATCTTTATTTTCATGCAAGCCCAGTGCAGGCTGACACTGCAAACTGGGAAAACTGTCTCTGTTCCTCAGGATGCAGAGGAGTAAAGGGAGAAGAAGAACACAGTTCCAGTCAAACCATGTGTGTCTAGAACGGGACAAACCAAACACAGTGCAAACCCACTTTCTCCTCTATGTTTTGTCCCAAGTGGGATTGTGTCCTAGACTGAAGCAGATCCAAAATGGCCTGTGGACTCCCTCTGCTTAGTCCAAATTACTGAAAGGGAACTTGGACCCCTTATAATACACTATTCCAGAGCCTCCCGTTAGAGCAGTCATCAGGTTGCTGGATAAAAGTCCAGGTAGGCGGATGGAGACCGGACCCATGGCTTCTTTCAAACCTCACACAGGTTTGGGCAGTCCATCAATCCTTTTCCACGTAAAGATAACCTCCCTGGATGTAAGAAAAAGAAACAACTCCAGTCATATGAAGGGCCCTGCTGTGAAGACTGATGCCAGAGGACCAGGTCTGGAGCTCAGCCAGTGGGTGCTGCCATTAAGGTGACTTAAGGTGAGGTCTGAGCTTCCATGTGTAACTGAGGAAGTTGGATCTGCAGGCGGCCTGGGAGACTAGTGATACCTGCATCCAGATTCCTATGAAAGGTGCCATGGGAAGGTGTTGGGCCTCCCCTTAGGAACCCACATGGTTAACTGGGGTGGGAGTGATGCACATGGAAAGGTCACCAGCACCCCAGCTCCCGTGTCTGCTGTCCCGAGCTGATGTTGGATGAGTCAGCAGCCTGCTGCCTTAAGGGCCCCAGTGACTGTGAGCCTGTGTGACATCAGTGAGATCTCAGGAGCTGTTCAGACACAGTTTAGAGACAGCTCTCAATAGTCCGGGCATTTTGGATGGGTGAGTTAAGTTGACCACAGTAGTTGTCACTGTAGCTGTCACATAAGGAGTATCCACAATACACTTTGTACCATGACTGTGTCAACTTAATTTGTCACCAGTAGTCAACGTGGGTCTGCAGGTTGAGCCGCCCTCCCACAGACTAAGGCAGAGTCTTTCTGTGTAGTTCAACTAAGTTTCACAATCACTGTGTGGCTCAGGTCAGCTTTAAACTGCAGGGAATTCTCCTGCCTCAAATTCTCAAGTTCAGGGTTTACACACATGTGCCAGCACCACCTCCTGGGCTCCCCTTGTCACTTTCTGGGCAGCTTACCTCACTGTAAGGAGCTGGGTTCCAGGTCCCCCTTCTTTCTTAGTTTTTTATTTTCCCATTACGAGGGGTTAAACACAAGGAGTACTGAACTATGTCCTCAGTCTGTTTACATTTTATTTTGGAATAGGACCTTACTAAATTGCCCGGATGGACATTAACTTGCAGTTCTCCGGCCTCAGCTTCTGACTGGCTAGGATTACAGGTGCGCACCATCGCACGCTTCCTCTCTGCCCCTGTGTGCTGTGTGCTCTTCCCGTACAATCTTCCCACTGCACCAGAGAGACTTGTTTAGGGTGAGAGCTCTCAAATCTTTACAGCTATAGAAGGTTTTCCACATCAAAGCCACTGATCAGAGACAAATAGGATCTTTTCACTCCACTAGCAGCTCAGTCCAAGAAAAAACTTCTTATAGAAAGACTCAAAGTCACTTTGTAAACCTCAGAAAAAATTTATACTAAGGCCACAAGAGGTGTCCCCAAAGTGGGTGTAGAGGTGGCCTTCGGGATTCAAAGGCCACTCCCAAGGATGGTGTAAGAAAGGAAGGTCTGACTGGGCATTTTGATGGTTCCAGGTGCACACAAATAATCCCAATCCTTGGGAGGTTGAGGCAGGCAGATTGTCAGGCATTTGAGATCAATCTGAGCTGCATAGTGAATTTAAGGACAGTATTATAGCTTGTGTCTCAGTGTTTCCCCAAAACCTCATGCAAGTCACAGATGGAGCTTTTCAAAGGTGACCGGGTCTTGAGTTTGTGATGCTGAGATCAAGTGTATGTGAAAACAAAACCAGTCCACTGAGGGGCTCGGCGTGGTTCTGCGTAGGAGTGAGCTTGCCCCTCCTTAGATGTGAGCGCTGCTGGCCTTGGCAGCCTGGACACAATATGCCAGGCAGAAAGAGGGCGCCTGTGTGTGATGACTGACCGCTGCTGTCCCTTGCATTTTGCTGTCCTTTTCTTCCCTTGGACCATCTCTTCTCTGCGGTGCCCCCCTCTGTGCCACCTGCCTTTGGGCCGTCAGGTCATGGGGTGAAACAGCCCCCAGGTGTCAGCCAATAAAGCTTTCCTGCTTCCATTTGGGTGCTGGGTACTTTGTCTCAGCAATAAGAAAAGTAACTGAGACTGCCAGCTTGAAATATGCAGGTAGACCCAGTGTGACAACAACAAAACCCACCTTTCCCTGCTTTTTTTTTTCTTTTTTCCTTAAATAAAATTAAAAAAAAAAAAAAAAAAAACCCAAACAAACAACACCAAATCAGGGGCCCACCGCAGGCAGGCTGGTAGGGGACTGGAGGAAACAGCCCCAGAAAAGAGGAGAAACCTCCAGAAGTAACTCCTGCCCCCAGCCCAAACGTCACTGAGTAGAGCTAGGCCTGGTGGACTTTGGTAACTTTCCGTAGACATAGGGGCGGGGCGGAGGCGTGTCCCGTGCTGCCAGCTCCAAGGCCCAGTAGATCTTCAATAGCTGACCTGTAGCTGCCAGCATCTCTACCCTGCAGGTCCCAGTCTGCAGAGCAGGAGCTGCAATGGAGTCCAAGTGGGATGCGCTGAGCACACTGGGGGCCATCACGGCCGCCTGGCTGCTGCTGCGGGGGACCTGGGGAGTGGCCCGCGCTGTGTACGTGTACCTGCTGCCCCAGGTCCGGAGGGGCAATGCTTGGCTCCGGGCACAGGGAGCCTGGGCAGGTAAGGGACCCGGGGTTCTCCTGAGGCTGTGCGGGTGGGGGCTGCAAGGTGGAGGACAGGTGACAGCTGACCCGTGGGAACCCCTCCTCCCAATACAGACAGTGGCCAAGGGACTCGAAGAAGCAAGAGAGCAAAAGGCTGGTGCTAGCAGGACAAGGGAGGCACAAAGTCTCCAACGCAGTCCAGGTGAGAGGAGCAGGTGGCAGAGAGGAGCCAGGTCAGAACAGGGGAGACCCCGCTGGTCACCCGTAAGGAGCACAGCTTACACGGGCCAAGCTGAGAGCCCAGCCCCAGAAGGCTGAGTCAGGAGCAACAAGTTGAGACTGAGGCCAGCCAGGCTGCATAGAGAGGCCCTGTCTGGAAAAATCGAAAGTAGTGGCTGGGACTGTGTGCAGATTCCAGGGGACAGCGAAGGTAATGAGCCCTAGCAATGAGGGCTCCGGCTGGAGCAGAAGTACCCACTCCAGGAGGGACCTCATGGAACTTAGGATGGGTCAGGACCCCCCAACAGGACCCACAGCGGGGAAGCTGCCCACCCTCTGCCCCCTCTTCTCTCTCCTAGTGGTGACAGGAGCCACCAGCGGCATTGGCAAGGCCTACGCACACGAGGTGAGTGGGGTGGTGGCTTCCGTGCTGATTTCCCTGTCACCAGCTGCCTGGGGAGAGCTAAGTGCCCCCTCACCCTCTCATCCCTCTCATTATTGCCTGGTTCATTCCTTCAAATCCTGTTTATTGACCACCTACTCTGTGCCAGGCATCTTCCTGGGCCTGGGGATGCAGCAGTGAGCACAAGAGAGTTTTTGCAAGAGTGCAAGTCCTGCCCTCGTGGAGCTTATCCTCCAGCCAGGGCAGAGGGGCATAAGCAAGGTCCGGCACATGGAGTGAGAGGTGGTGGTCAGGGAGAAGGAGACACTCAGGAAAGAGGATGGATCCCATCATTCTCAGGCTTGTGAAGCAGGCCTGAGTCCTCTTTTGTGAGTGGCGTTAGCTGTGCTGTCCTGGCTGCCTCCGTGTGCTGAAGCAGCTCAGAAGGGTGAGCATTTGGTGATGGTGACTGGGGGGAAGCCAGGAGTTCCACGGTGGCAGATCCAGCGAATGGGGTGGGTGAGGCAGTAGGGCAAGGGCTCCCCGAGTCTGCCTTTCCCCTGGATGGCACCCAGAGGGGCAGACACTGTATTCCTCCTCACACCCTGAGAGCCATGAGAGAGGACCTCCAGGGCTCTTCAGAGAGCAGCGGGAAGGCTGGGGTGAGTGTACTGGCAGCCAGGGGGGCACTCTGGGGAAGGCATTTTTACAAATGTCATCCTTGGCCTGGGATTTGTTCATACCTTATCTGTAACCATATGTCATGTGTGGATAGTGTTTGTTTGTTTTGTTTCTTTGTGTCTCTCATGGAGCCTTGTTTCTGTCCTTTTTTTGAGTCACTGTGTAGCTCAGGCTGACCTTGAACTCACTCTGTAGCCCAAGTTGGCCTTGAACTCTCAGAGATCCTCCTCCCTCAGCGCCCTGAGTGCTGGTGTTACAGAAATCCACCAGCACCTGGAGCAGTGTTAGCTCTTATTTTTGATGTTCTGCTCTGTTCTGCATTATTCTGTATTCTTGTGTTTTGTTTTGATGTGTTGTCTGTTTTTGACACAGGGTCTTGCTATGTATTTCAAGCAGGCCTTGAGCTCACTGTGTGGCCCCGGATGCTCCAATGCACAGTGATCCTCCTGTCTCAGCCTCCTAGTCCTTGGATTACAAGCATGGATCCTTATGCCCGGCCTCCTCTTCTGTTTCTGATCTCTATGCCCTTTCTTTTTCTTGCCTTCTCAAACTGACACGGAACCCAGTATGCTGTTGGAGAGGCTGTAAGAATGGCTATGTTGCATGGCTTTAAAAAGTCAGCAGGAGATTAGTTTCTTCTGTGACTGGTTCGTTTGGTAGGGGCTTTTCCGTAGGGAGGGCCCTCTGTACCTGGCTTCCTGAGGGTTTTCTTTAGGGATAGAAGTAGATTTTTGTGAACTCATTTTTTGTATCTTATGGGAAAATTGAGAGTAAATGACATTGCGGGATCCCTGTCTGTCTCTGTCTCTGTGTGATGACCAGAGTTAACCTCCCTTCCTCTCAAGAAGACAGCATGCGTTACTAAAATAAACTGGAGAATTTATTCTTCCTCACTGAAGCTTTATGTCTGCTGTCCAACACGTCCCCTTCTCTCCTCAGCCCTCAGCCCCGATTAACCACTCTCCTCTCCCCACGGCCAGAAGCTCAGCTCCCGCTGAACTGAGATCCTGCAGTGTTGGATTTTCTGTGCCTGGCTGACCTCACCTAACATAATGACCTTCGGGCTCCTCTCCCATGACGGTATTAGTCAGCGCTGTGACTGATGGACAACATTCCTGACACCCAGAGCTGAGAGGAGGAGAGATTTTTTTGACTATGGTTTCAGTTTTCTGGTTTCTTGCTCATTTCTGTTTTGAAACAGGGCTTCCTTTTGCACTCCAAGTTGGCCTTGAATGTACAGGGTAACCCGGGTGGCCTCGTGGTGAGCCTCCTGCTTCAGCCACCTGAGCGCTGAGATGACAGGAGGGCACCACTGTGCCCAGCTGGCTCCTGGTTTCCTGTGGGTCAGTGCATGACTGCCTGGCCCCAAAGCAGGGACAGCGTGGTGCGAGGGCCTGGGAGAGCAGAGCTGCTTAGTTCACAAAGGCTGGGAAGCGGAGCTCGGGGACAGCATCCACCAGACAGCAAGGGGCCAGGGACGGATATGGGGCGGAGTCACACCTGGGTGGCCGTGCAGACACACCCAGGAGTGTGCTACACCAGTCCCACATGTGGCCCCCAGGACACTTAAGGTGACTTCATTAACTTTCACCCCCACATTTCATCTCTAGTTAACCTGGCACCCAAATTCATCTCCTTAAACCATACTTGTCTCCAAATAACCCCTAAATTAGTAATTTCACCTCACACAGGGGACTATGCTGTGTGCAGCCAGAGCAGAGTAGTCCCTTCCCCAGAGTCTCAGCAGTCCTCGCATTTCCTATAAGTGCCAGTCCAAGGTCCCTGTTGAAAGCTGGGCAGGCTGGCACATGCCTGGACCCCAGCACTGGGAAACTGAGTCAAGATCACTGCGGATTTCAGGCCACTTGGGCTATGTCCTGAGTTCAAGGCCAGGCTGAGCTGCTAGCCAGGTCTCATCTCCAGCAAAGACAACACCACCAAAGCAAAGCCTCCTCCGACACTCAAGCACTGAATCGGTGTAAAATCGAGCATAGGTTACGTAATCTCAAAGTACAAGGTCTCACAGTGAACATATCCATTTCAACCAGGATTAGAAGAGGCTTGTTTAAAAATAATCAGACCAAAGCAAGACCAAAACCCAGCTGGACAAACCTTAAGTTCTGTAGCTCTAGAGCTGGTGTCTGGCGCTCATGGTTTTGAGATGTGAGTTTAAGGGGAGGGCTTGGGAGCAGCCTCAGCCTAGGGCTTTGTGGGTTGCTGCCCACACAACCTCTCTCTCTCTCAGCTGTACTCAGGATCTGCAGCTGTCCTTGAAAGATGTCTCACATTCCTGTCCCACACTCCTGTCCTCCAGCTCCCTGGATCCTGGCTTCCTTCCTACAGCTTCATACCCTGCCCTTTCAGGGCTCACTGCCTGGTCTCCCAAGCCTTCCTGAGAAACCTGGATGAAAACTCCCCTGACTCCACAGCTCATTCTGCATGCACCTATATCCAGCACAACATGGATGAAGTCTGCTTAGGGCAGTGGCCAGGCCCCCTTAGACCATGGCTGCAGCAGCCTCTAAAGGTCTAGATGGCTGATTTACAGTGAAAGAAGCCCTGGTTATAGGGATCTATCAGAGGAAGAGAGTCAGGATAAAGGACCTTTTGTTGAAATTCTGAGTGACAAGGCAGACATGGTTAGCTGCCTATGCTGATGAGAACAACCTAGACGGCGGGATGTGGTGCACAGGGGGACAAGAGCAAAGCTAGAGCATTGTCCTGGATCTGGCAGGAATGGAGGGCACTTGAGTGACCAGTGGAAGAGTGACAGCCACACATAGGCAGACTGCACAAGTTGGTTGTTAGCTGCAACCACTGTGCGCCATCACTGTGTGGGGACCAGTCTGTCCCACCCACTGCCCTGCTCTGTGAGGCCAACAAGGAAAGGCTGGCACCATCCTGCTGGTGCCAGTCACAAAGTGGGTGCTGGGCAAAGTATTTGATGAGTGAATGAAAGAATGAATGAAAGCTCTTGCACCATTAGCCTCTCAGATCCGTGGAGCTCTTGAGACCCTGGGGCAGAGCCTCCTTCACAGCTGAGGGACATCAGTCCCACCTCATGTCACCCTCAGAGTCCAGGCTGAGAGGGACAGTCAGGCACTGAGTGCACATCCCTTCCCCAATCACGTGTGTTTTCTAGCTCAGCATCAAGTGGATGGGGCTTCAGGGCAGAAGGACTAGAAGGTGCAAAGGCCCAGGAGCAGAAAAGGCAGGGGCTGCTGGGTGGGACCCCAGGAGTCAGGGCTGTGCCTGGCCTCTCACAGAAGGACACGTCAGGCGGTCCAGCTGAATATACCTGTTTTGTGGGTTTGTGGCAGGGTCCCTGGGGAGCCAGGGAAGGGGCAGGGTTGGGTTCTGGCTTTGCAGAGAGACCTCAGTGGTGGGGTGGAGAGTGTGGGGGAGGGGCTGAGCCGGGGGGGGGGGGACCCCAGGCCCTGTGGGTCACCAATCCTGCAGCAGGGAGCAGGTGCTCGCTAGGAACGTGGGAGTGAGGGAGCATAAAAACAGGGTCAGACACCCAAGTGGTGACAGGCAGAGTCTCCCTAAGACTCTGGGGGCCCTCAATCTCCTACGCAGATATCACCTCAGTCTGCCCACTGTGCCCAGAGCTGCCCTGCCTGGATTTTCCTCCTCCTCCACTTCTCTTCTCCTTTGTGCAGCTCTGTGACCCCGGGGCTCTAACAATGAGAGTCAAGATCAGGACGGAGTTAACTTTTGCTGACAGGGTGAAGGACAAGATGTGGGAAATAGTCTGGAGTAGTTGCACATACCTGGAATCACAGGTCTCTTGAAGGCAGAGGCAGGAGCATCCCAACATGAAACCAGGACTCAAAGACTGAGGGCCTGTATCTGAAAAAATAAAAAGGCTGACAGTGGAGCTCAGTGTGAAGGCCCTGGGTTCACCCCAGCTCCTGGTGCAGGGCTGGAGGGGTGCAGGCCTGATTAAGTGACTGAATTTCTGCAGCTGGCCAGGAGGGGGCTGGACATAGTCCTTATCAGTAGAAGCCACAGCAAGTTGGAGCAGGAGGCCAGGGAGATCGGTGAGTGCACAGCCTTTGAGGAAGCCCTGGGCTCCCTGGGCTGGGGTCAGGGGTGTGCCTGATGGCCGGAGGCTGCAGCTGGGAACACTGGAGCTGGGCAGGGACAGGGGCAAGGGCAGGGGCAGGGGCAGGGCCTGACCCCTCCCGCTCCCCAGAGCGGCTGCACGGCAGGTCCACGCGCATCATCCAGGCCGACTTCACCGGGGGCTTGGAGATCTACGGTGCCATCGAGGCAGGACTGCGGGGCCTGGAGATCGGAGTCCTGGGTGAGTCACCAGCCTGCTTCGCTCATCCGGAGCGCGCCGGGTGCCCTCCTGTGCCCACCCCGTGTCCCCGGGCTGTGAGGGACGCTGTGCGACCTCTTGTGCAGTGAACAATGTGGCCATGATGTACGGAGGCGGCGCCTCAACCTTTAGGAAGCTGCTGGACCTTGAGGACCTGGGCCAGGTGAGTCCGGGCTGCTGCGGCGCTCTGCTGCCCTCTGCTGGACGGGACGCAGAACACACCGGCGTCCCCAGCGCCAGTGCCAGGCTGCTCATTGCCTTGGCTGGAAAACTGTTTACAGCAAACACACTGTTTGTGCTTGAAAGAGGGGACCTTTTGCAGTTCTCAACCTGTACAACTGTAGGTTTTGAGCCTGGTTCTCACCTTTCATATTCCCGGGTGCTGACTGTAAAAAGGAGCCACAGGGGAAAACCAGAATGTGGATTCTCTAAATGAGGGGAGAGGAGAGATAGGAGAAAAAGAAAGAGAAACAGATAGACAGACAGGGAATGGCAGTGTCCTACATTGTCTCTGTGTGTGTCTGTGTTATTTACTGGACACTGAACCCAATGCCTTTGTTGCAGCTCCATCTGAAGCCCTGTTTTATTTTGAGACAGGGCCTCTAAGTCACTAAGGCCTCAGGCTGGTCTCGAACCTGTAGTCCTCGTGCCTCAGCCTCCCTGACTGCTACAGTTACAGGTTTCAGCCACTAAGTCTGGCTGCTTCCTAGTCAATTTTGCAATCAGCAAGCCTGTTCTCCAGCCTTAGTCTTCTCTTTGCAGTTGAGTCTGTCTGTTCTGCGTCCTTTGCGGTTTGCTAGCGACTGTGTTGAATCTGCAGCTCAGTGGGGAACAGCGGGCATCCTGACACCAGGAAACCTCCCGCCCCAGGAACACCGCGTGTCTCGCATCCAGCTCGGTCTCCTCAGTATGTTTTAGCGCTGTGTTCTGGTCCTGGGCTCTGCACGTCTTTCACCACCTTGAGTACTTTTTTTTCACTATTGTAAATGAAATTATGTTAATTCACTCTGTCACCTGTCTAGGGCCGGTGCATAGCAACACAGAAGACTTGGTTTGTGTTTTGTGGGAAGGTGAAAGTTTTTTGTGGGTTTTTGGGAGGTTCTCACTACATAGTTCAGCACGGCCTCAAACTCGAAGTGATTCTCTGGCCTCACCCTCCCAGGTGCCGGATTACAGCTGTGATTACATCACCAGGCCTGGACTTCTCACTTTCATGCCTTATGTTACTAATTTCAATCTTTTCTTTTTGTCAGAGAATCACTCTTCTGTTTCACTGTGTCTCTGTTAATTCCTCTCTTGTATTTTATTTGTATGATCTTGTATGAATTTTCTGTCTCCCGAGTTGTAGAATTCTCTTCTAGTCTAATGTGGCCCTTACAGTCACTATGTTTCTTCCCTAGCATGGCTTTTCTGAGTCTCATAATTGTGCTCTGTGGCATGTTAATTTTATTTTATTCCTTGTCATTTTATTTTTGTGGTTCTCTAAGTGTCTTCTCATTTCTGTGTGATTTTCTGTGATCACTGGTTGTTTGAGAGCTACTGGGGAGTTGCTTATGCATCTAGGAATTCATTCTTTTCTGAGATACGTGATTTACAAATATTTTCTACCATTTGGGGAGCTACTTTTTTCTCTGTTGGTTGGATCCTTTAATATACAAAAGCATTTTTATTTTGGAGACAAGGTCTTGTTATATAGCCCAGACTGGTCTTGAACCCGAGATAATCCTCCTTGTTCAGCCTGCTGAGGGCTGAAATAGTAGGTGTGTGCCACCATGCCTGAGCAAAGTTTTAAATTTTATTTGGCTGAGGTGGCCCATGCCTGTAATTCCAGCATTCTATGAGGCTGAAGTAGGAGGATTTCAAGTTTGAGGCCACACTGGGGAACATAGTAACTTAATGACAACCTTTTCAAAATTAAAAAAGAAGAAGGAGAAGGAGAAGAAAAAGAAGAAGAAAGAGGAGGAGGAGAAAAAGGAGAAGGAGGAGAAGGGAAAGAAGAAGAGGCTGGTACTGTAGCTCAGTGAGAAGGCGCTAAGTTGAATCCCCAGTGACACAGGCACACACCCCATACATGCGTGCACACACACACACACACACACACACACACCGGAACAGGCTCCCACCTGACCCTTCCTTTCCCTTGCCATGTACATGAGGGCTCGCATTCTCCAGCAGCCCTGAGTATGAGCCGGGTAAGTTATCTGTGGCAGTGCCAGCATGGGAACAGCTCAGTGCCCACCCACACTGACTGGGTAATAAAGCATACTGAATTCACATGGTGGAAAATTCCAGCAGTGAACCCCGGGGCCCTGTCACCCACAGTGGGAACAAGTCTCACAAATGCTATACCAGGAAGTCACCATGGTGAGGGGGTGAGGGCTCCAGGGGGCCCCTTCCCTAAGTCACCCGGTGAATGATTCTGGCTCTGTTGGAGTCAGGACACCGTCACCAGGGGAAGGGGCTCGGTGGGGATACAAGGGGTCCCCATCCGGCACAGGTCAGTATTTCATTTCTTCATCATGTCGAGGCTAAAGATTCATCTGGCCTCTTTTTTTTCTTTGAGAAAGTCTCAGTATGTACTAAAGGCTAGGCTTGAACTCAGGGGGACCCTCCTGCCTCAGCCTCCTGAATGCTGAGATTACATGTGTCACCACCACACCTGGCATATGCTCCTGTTTTAGAGTAAAGATTAGTTCACTTTGCTATGTATACATTTTCCTTGGTTTTTGTTTTTGTTTTCTGGTAGTAGGGATTGAGTGAAGGGGTGTTCTACCACTGAGCTGCACCCCAATCCTTTATAGTTTGACACATGTTCTCACTGAAACCACAATGTTGCCCGGGCTAGTCTTGAATTTGTGATCCTCTTGCCTCAGCCTCCCGAGTTGCGGAGATTTTGGCAAGCAGTATTCAAGTAGCTTTGAGCATCCTTGTGTGTGGGAATCTTAGGAGGCAGCTCATTGCTCCAAGTGGAGTTGAGAACTCCAAGGACGGGAGGTTTTTAAATTCTAATCAGAACTATTATTCTTAACAGTATATGTTCTAAATTTTAAAAATAAGAAAAACAGACAGACCTAGTGTCACATGCCTGTAATCCCAGTCCTGCAGATGATCTTGTCAAGACAACCTAGGCTACAGAGTAAGTTCAAGGCCAGCCAGGACTATATGGCAAGACCCTGTATTAGAAAGAAAGAAAGAAAGAAAGAAAGAAAGAAAGAAAGAAAGAAAGAAAGAAAGAAAGAAAGAAAGATTAAGCTAGGAAGACAGGAAACGTGGGAGGTGTGGGGGCTTGGGAAGCAGGTGGTGACGGGCTCCGTGTTCATCCCCAGAGTGTATCAGATATCATCAACTGCAACGTGATGTCGGTGGCACAGGTCAGTGGGGCCGGGAGGGCCGGGTCCAGTGGCACTGAGGCTGCCACCACCGGCGGTCTGCATCCTGGGAGCGAGGGTACCCAGGTCAGCCCCTGAGGGGACTGGGACAGCGCCTGGGTGAGGAGGGCCAGAGAAACACAGGCGCCTCCTCTTCCCACAGATGGTCCGCATCGTCCTGCCCCAGATGGTCAGCAGGTGAGAGCCGCTTGCTGTGGTCACGTTGGATTCCCCAACCCCGGCCTCCAGGCTGCCCACTCCCTACCCTCTGGGTTTCCAAGTCATCAGCCCAGGCTGACCTGGAGCTCTTCACCCTCCTGACTCAGCCTCAGGGCTCCCGGGATTTTGGGCATGCAGCACTGTGCCAGGTCGCAGTCCTCCCTCTCCTCAGCCCTTTGAGAGTAGGGTTCCAGCCGAGGGAGGGACAGTCACCCCGCCCCTTCTCCCGCGGGGCAGTGACCCTTCCAACACAGTTCCCTCCTCCAGGGGCAAAGGTATCATCATCAATGTGTCCTCCGTGACGGACTGCAGGAGCACCCCATTTCTTTCCCTGTACTCAGCTACTAAGGTAACAGAACCCCCAGACCCCAGGCGGAGGCGCCATCTCACCCCCAAGTGTTCCCGGACCCTGTGTCCTGGTGGGGAGATTGGGGTGGAAAGTTCGGGGGGTGGGCGCGGGGGGGGGGTGCCCTCCCTGGGCCGAGGTTGGTGCTCCTGGGTCCTCCTCTTCTCCCCCCCCCCCGCAGGCCTTTGTGCGAACCTTCTCGGAGGCGGTGTGTGCAGAGTACTTTCCTCAGGGTGTCACCATCCAGGTGCCCAAGGGATTCGCGGAGGTTCCAAGGACCGGGCTGGGGTAGCAGCTGTGGAGGAGAGGGCAGAGGAAGCAGGGTCAGAGAGATGTGGGACTCGGGGTTCCGTGGCCTAGTGGAGATCTGTGGGGTGTGTGGTCACACAGTTGTGGTCTCATCCTCACGGGGGCCGGGCCTGAGCATGAGGTATTGGGTCTAGATATCGGGAGGGGGATCTAAGTCTTAGGAGGCGGGGTCTGTGCCCCAGGGGACGGGGTCCAGGTCTTAGGAGGCGGGGTCCAGGACTCAAGGGCGTGTTTGGGTGGAGTCCAGTCCCTTTGGCAGGTCTACATTTGGAGCCCAGTCTACACCTTTGGTTGGGGCCTGGGTTTTGATGGAGGTACTTAGGGCAGGTCCACATCTAGGACAGCGAATAGGATTTGGGGTGCGAGACCCAGCTAACAGGACAGGTGGCTGGGTCTCTGGAAAGGGACAGCACTGTTTCTTGGACCCCTTGTCTCCTGTCCTGTAGACTGTGAGCCCCGTGTGGGTCTCCACAAACATGACCTCCAATGGGCGGACAAGTCGCCTCGTGAAGGACGCCGACGAGTTCGCCCAGGAGGCGCTAGACACACTGGGCCTCTCCTCCCACGTCTCTGGCTGCCTGAAGCATGCAGTGCAGGTGCCTCTCTGGCGGGCACTCCCTGCTCGGGCTGGGTGGGGAGGCGCAGGGGAGGCTGGGCTGACTCTGCCTCTCTCCTGCCCAGAGCTTCCTGCTGCCTTTTATCCTGCCCGCGTGGTTACTGCACAGTCGCTGGGTGATCAGCCTTCTGTCTGCAGGAAACAAGTCCAAACTTTTCCCTTCAGTTAAACCCCGGGGAACTTAGTGAAGATGGGTCCCAAGGTCTCCCGTGGGTGTAATGGAGCAGCAGGCTGCTGGACACCGCGCTCTGGGTGCCAGGGCAGCCTGGCTGTGCTCTGGCAGAAAGACGCAGTTTTCCATATGAGCTGTGGACAGCCAGACAGCCACCTGGTGATCTTTTTATAAAAGTTGTAGTGATTGTGCAGCCTAGAGAATATATCAAAAAGTCATAAATTACATTCATTAAAGGGGTGACTCTTATGTGGCTTTCTTAATAAAAGTAACTGTAGAACAGAGCCCCTCACTCCATATAAACACCTTTTCCTTCCTTCAATCCATCATGCACAATATAAACTTCAGCGAATCCGCACTCCCCAGGTAAAAAGGGACATGGAAAGGCTGGAATTCAGGGCCCAGTTCTTTTCCATCTTCTGAGCTTTCAGTCTGGGATTTTTGGTTTCTGAGACAGGGCCGGCTGTGGAGCCCAGGCTGGCCTCCACCTCACCCTGACCCTCCTGCTGAGCCTTCTGAGTGCGGGGATTACAGGTGGGCACCACCATGCCCTGCTTGCTTTGCATCTTGGGAGTGGGGAAAACCTAAATATTGAAGATTTAAAGCAACAACAAAAAGAGCCACTAATAAGCATTCACAGTGCAGGCTGAGTTAGCTGGAGAGTGCACTCTCCCTGCGGGGACTTTGACAGGCTCTGGAAAGGCAGATGGATGAGTGATGGGGAAAACCAGATGGGGCGGTGTTGGTGGTAGAATCTAGGTGGCCACTGTGTAATTTCTTTGGCTCTTCTGTAGCTCTGTAATGGTTTCTAATAAAGTGCTGGATGAGCAGGTCCTGGTGGTGCACAGCTGTAATCCCAGAACTGGGAAGGCTGAGGCAGGAGGGTTGCCACAAATTCAAGGCCAGAGTTGATACATAGTAAGTTCAAGGTTAGTCTGAACTATATAACAAGACCCTATTTCAAAAAAAAAAAAAAAGGAAAAAGCTAGGGGAAACCCAAGAATAATATAATATAATTTAGAAATCTACTGAAACTGCTTTAGAAATTGCTTAAGAAACTATGATTCACTCCAATATGATTGTGCATGCCCACCATTCCAGCACTCTGGAAGACTGGGAACTTCAGGGACTTAGCAAGATCCTGCTGCAAAATTTAAGTTAAATTAAATTTTAAAAGAGCTAGTGGGCAGGCATGGTGGCACCCGACTGTAATCGCAGTATTTGGCAGGCTGAGGTGGGAGGATCACTTTCAGTTGGAGGCCAGCAGGGCTCCATAGTGAGTGCAAGGCCATTCTGATCTGCATAGTGAGACCCTACCTCAGAAAGACAAAAAGTAAAAAAAAAAAAAAAAAGTAACTTTAAATACACAAAAGGGCTCAGTCTGCTCCCTCTGGTTTCAGTCCCATTACAGAAAAGGACCACGCTGTAGCAAAGTAAATGTTGGCAGAATCTCAGAGAAGATGTTTACAGTTTACATCATATTCAAGATGTTTGTCTCCTTAATACTTGAAGGACTTTTTAAATGATAAAGAAAAAGACCAAAGTCCCAATTTGTTTTCAAGACCCAAGAGAGCAGATAGTTTTAGAGAAAATCAGACAGCTATCCCTACCCGTTATGGAAAGCGCTCAGCCTCACTTGTGATGGAAACCTCCCCAGGCTGCAGTAGGGGGCACGCATGGCGTGGCTGAGGGCCTGGACCTGATGCCCAGGACAGGAGAAGGAGAGGAAAAGGAGGAGGGGAGGGGTGAGGACCCGGATGAAGACTATCTAAGGGTAGCATTGTTCACCCGTGGAATTGGCAGAGACTCCCATGCCTGAGGAGAGGCTCCAGTGCACTGCTGGGGCCACTGAGGCAGGAGAGTAGGGCAGGGCACACTCCCTGGAAAGTCCTAAGAACCCAGAGGACATGCACAGAACACAGGACCCAGGCCCCGCCCACTCCTGAGCCCTGAACCTGGAGCCAATCAGAAAGCGGTATTCTCAGTCCTCATTTGCATCTAGCTGGAGCCAAGAGAGCCTTCCACCGTGTGGATTCAAGGTGGTGGGTGGATGGGCAAATTATTGCTGAGACAAATGCCCCTGTGGCTTACTTGCATGAAGGAAAAGCTGATCCAGGAACTTTGGATACCAAAGAGCGATTCAGTAGAGAGCCCGGCCTGGTTGTGGGGATCTTCTTTCCTCAGCCTCCAAAGTGCTAGATTACAGATGTATGCTACTGTGCTCCGCTTTGTCCTGTAGAGTTTCCAAACGTACACCCTTGCCACCTGTTATGTATGTCCTGTCCATTTCTTTGTTCAAAATACTAAGAATCTGGAAAGGATTGTGCTTCCCCGCTCCCCCCCCCGTGCCCACCCCCATCCCTTCACCCCTACAGCTGACAGTGACACAGTCAGGTAACAGCATACCCTTGATGAGAAAAATCAGCAATACAGTTGAGCATTGACTTTTTTGGCTTCTTCCTTTTCTATAGTCCTAGGGATATGAATCCAGCGCCTTATACATGCTAGACAGATATTTTATCACCAAGTTACATCCCAGCCCTTTGTCTTTTTCTTTTTTATTGGTACCAGGGATCGAACTCATGATCACACACTTGCAAGACAGGCGCTTATGCCGCTGAGCTAAATCCCCAGCCCCCCAGTCCTTATATTTTATCTTGAAACACTGTCTCACTAAATTGGCTAGTCCTCGAACTTGCAATCTTCCTGCCTCAGCCTTCCAAGTAGCTGGGCTGACAATCAAGCAACACTATGCTGTGTTTGCTTTTACCTCTACAATTTGTTTCCAAGGACATATTCTAAGCTTCCACCTCACAGAGCACCTAAATGTAAGAAGATGTTGGGCAGAGTTGGGCATGGTAGTGCATGCTTATAATCCCAGGATCTGGGAGGCTGAGGTAGGAGGATCACCATGAGTTCAAGGCCAGCCTGAGCTACCTAGTGTGACCCCGTCTTGGTGGATGGAAAGGAAGCTCATATCTTTTTCCTGGAGGACATTGGAGAAAAGTAGATTTTTATTTTTAATTCATTTTATTGTCAGTACAAGGGATGAAATTCAGGGACTTTGCACTGAGTTGCATTCCCAGCCCTATCTTATTATTATCATTATTATTATTATTAATTTTATTATTGATTTTAAAGTCTCTTGCTGGGCTGATATTTGCAGTCCTCTTGCCTCAGCCTCCCAAGTGCTGGGATTTCAGGCATGGGCTACCTACCACACCAAGTTTAATCGAGTACTTTCCGATAATGCCATTGTGTCTTCTCTGTGGATTTATTAGCTGCGCCTCTTTGTCTGGGGATTGCTTTTAGACTGTAGTCTGTGTCTTTCCCTGAGGCCGCCTGCAAGGGGCGCAGCCAGCTCCCACCTGGGGTGAACTTGTCCGTCTCTCTCCTCCCCCTCTGGCTCTTCCCTGCACCTGCACATTAAAGGCCGCAGTATCGTCGATTCTTTTTGTTTGAACACATTTCTCTGAAACAGATATGAACAAGACAGCAGCATGTGGAGTCACCGGACGCCCTTCCTAGGCCCGGGGGCTTTCTGTAACCCTTGCCGTGCAGTTCCGCTGATGGTACATTCCTTAGCCTTTGCCATGTCTCAAAGAGCTACTTTGGCTCTCACTTAAAAATTTTTTTAACTTGTGGTGAAATGCACGCAACATAAAAATTATCATGTTAGGCCAGGTGTGGTGGCTCATGCCTGTAATCCCAGCACTCGGGAGGCTGAGGCAGGAGGATCATTTCGAGTTCAAGACCAGCCTGGGCTACAAAGTGAGCTCAAGACCAGCCTGAGCTACATAGAGAGACCCTGTCTCCAAAAGTCAAATATATATATATATATATATATATATATATATATATATATATATATTACCATGTTGCCCTCTTGTTCATGTATTTATTCTTGAGCCAAGATCTCGCTATGTACGAATCATGACTGACCTTGAACTTGTTTAACTGCCCGGCCTGGGTTCAAATTTAAACCCTCCTGCCTCAGCCTCCCAAGCACTAGGATCACAGGCCTGTGGGTCACCACATCCACTCATCATTTTAACCTTAAGTGCTGGATCAGTGGCCTTAATATCCGCACACTGTGGTACAACCAGCACCACATTCCATCTCCGGAGCTCTTTTCTTCCCACCAAGCTGAAAGTCTGTCACCAGCAAACACTCAGCTCTACCCCTCCCGTATTAACTTCCGGTCTCTATGAATTTTACCACTCTTGGTTCTTCATAGAAGTGGAATCACGTGAGATTTGTCCCTTAGGACTGACTTACTCACCTAGAATAACAGTTTTAGGGTTCATCCATGTATATTGTGTGTCAGAATTTCCTTCCTCCTTAAGATGGAATAATTTTTCCATTGTACAATTATATTCCAATTGCAAACAATGTTATTAATGGAATATTATTCAGCCTTAAAAAGGAAGGAAACCTTGAGATCATGCTCTTAAGTGAAACAAATGGGACACACACATGTAAATACTGCATTGTTTCTCTAGTGTGAGAAACCAAAAGTGTACATAAGGACCAAAGTGTATAACAGATATTGTGAAATAGGAAGAAAATGTTCAAATGGGGTGGGGAACAAGAAAAAGGTAGGGAGAAAGGGAGGAAGGGAGAGCTAAAAATGAGAAAAGAAGGAATAAATGAAAACAAAACTTTTGCAAATGAAAGGAAGAGGAGTTAAAGGGAGGGGAGGGGAATGGGGAAAAAAGAATCAAGATATATCACGTTCAGTTACAAATTCCCTATGATGAATGTGGCATTGTGTGCACCTCAAATGTACTGATAAACTTAATTAATTTGAAAAAGGAAGAAGATGGTAAAGAGCAGAGTGGAGGCCCCAGGTGAGACCAGACTGATTTGATGCTGAGACTAAGAACCTCCCAAGACAGAGGGTCCTGCAGAGGACTCCAGTGTCCCCTGACCTCCGGAACTTTCTAGAAGGGCTGCAGGGAGAAGTCAGGATTGGGGGCCTTGTGTGAATGCATGGCAGTACCCCTCTCTTCCTTCCAGAAGGTTCCTTCCCCAGAAGAGTGGCTTCCCCACAGCATGAAGTGCTGATCACCCTGCTGGGTTGGGGACCCTCTGCAGCAGGCTCAGGTCTCTGTACACCAATGTCCCCTCCCAGTGCCATCCAGTCACCTCCAGCTCCCAGCTCTGCTTGTCGATTGGCTCAGCGTGGCCCCCACCCAGGGTTCTGACCCCAGGCTGGCCTTGAATTCATTGCAAT